AAGATTGCCTAAGACCAATGGATTTGTGTAGCAGAAGAGAAGGCATAGGAACAGGCTTTGGAGGCTATTTGGCTCAATGAGCTCCTTTGTCTATAGAATGAAAGACTAGCTGAGCAGCAAGCTGCCCTCCTTTAATAACAATAAGGCTATAGCCAAGTTGGGACCTAGGCAAACAAGATATAAGCTTAATTGGACAGCCTGGTATTGAACACCTATACAGGAGCCCTACCAACTCCTAAGGATACTGAGATGATTAAGATGCTTAAAGGCTACTCTAGAAGCCTCCTCAAGGACATTTATATAGCAAAATGTATAGGAAAGTATAACCCTGAAGCTATTATCCAATAAGCCATTGAATGCTCTTAGAAAACCACCTCGGAGAAATCCTTATGATGCTTGACACAACTGTTACTAAAGAAATCCACCTCCTCCTAGCATAATCCCTTTAAATCTAAAGAAGACCCCCTGACTGACTATAATCTTGGTAGAAGGTTGACCTAGGAAAGCTTGGTGTGTGTACAAAGGCAGATCAACAGCCTACAGTACTCTAATGTATATATATGAGGTGGTAATGGAGGAATGCCTTCCCCATAAAGGCATGTGTGAATGAACACTTTCCTACCTTCCTTTGATGGAGATAATAGCCATGATAACAATCATTTTTAAAGGTCCAGTTACAGCCTATCTCCAGGGCCCCTAGGCCCTCCTAGAGGTCCCCTAGGCAGACCACCTGGTCCCCTAGGTAGACTGCCTGGCCCTCTAGGTACACCACCCCTTGGTAGGCTGACACCTCCTGACAACTTGGCCCTCCTGATTAACCTTGTCTATGACATATAATAAATCAACTATAAAATCACATATGCTATAAGAGCTATTGGACAATGACCATTAAGTCTTACTTCTGCCACTATGACCAAGCCTGATTGATTTGATAGCAAGGATAAGGTGGGGTTTGAGACCTGGTAGAGGTCAATCAAGGAATATGTTAAATTCCATAAAGACAGTTTTTAAACTGACCTCTCCCTTATCAACTAGGTAGGATTATATACCAAGAAAACTACACTTGAATGGCATTAGAAGAGAGCCTGACAGATTGAAAAATTAGGCTTTGCTAACACCTAGGATGGATATTAAACTGCTATAAAGAAATGGTTCTATAACCCATCATATAAGCTTAGGGATATAGCTACCATATAGGTGTTGAAGTATAATAAGGACATCAATGAATATATCACTAAGATCTAAGAGCTAAATCATTCTATGGATATAAGTAGTGTTATGCTTCAGGGAATTGTCAAAAATATAATCCCAGAAGCTATCCTGGACCTTGTGTACTTATATACTAATGGTATTCCAGTTAATAACACAGACTTCTTTGAAGTAGTTGTCTCTATAGGCCTCTTTATAAGGAAAAAATAAAGGACTATGTCATTCTCTATGGAAATCAGCAGGGAAAAGACAGGTCCACTTTAAGTTCTAAGGAGTGCTTAAAGAAGGACAAAAAGGAGGACAACAAACCCAGCTTCTATTCTGACAAACCTGCTACAGAAAAGCCTAAGAAGGACAAGAAGTATAAGCCTAAGCTGGCCTTTAACTATAAGAAGTACTAGAACTCTTATAAGGAAGCTATTACTAGTATGGACAGGGCTGACATTAAGAAACATAAGAGGGACCAAGCCTGTCACTACTGTGGATGCTAGGGACATGACACTTTGGAATGCTATAGTGGAAAGTCATAGGATGGCAAGGAAATTCTAAGACCATTAAAAGCTATAGGTGTCAAAAAGGCCTGGTTTAAGGGTATGGAGCCTGAAACTGACAATGAAGCACCATAACTCACCAAGAAACCCAAGGTCAGTGTAACCATCATGGCCAATAAGTTCCCTGAAATGTTTCCCTGGATCTTGGAGTTATCTGATAACTTTAATGGTTTGGATTTTTAGAAGGGGACCAAGCACCAATGACACCTAGAACCTTTCCCTAAAGAGTTGTTTCTTCCATCCTGGCTCCCAAGAAATGACCTTTTAAGGAGTTAAATAGGGACCACCTAGCCAAGAAGGCCAAGATCCTGACACAAGAACCTGTTTATAGGGAATATAAGATCATACCTATGACTATTATGTGCCATAGAGCTTCTAAGATACCTATGTAAGTACTCCTTGACATTAGAGCTTTAGGACTTATTATAAGCAAGGCCCTGGCAGACAAGTGGTTAATACCTAAAGTCAAACACAAGTATACTAGGCCTTTAGAAGCCTTTAATACAACCACTGACCCTATAAGTGGCAAGTTCCATATAAGGTAGTTGGTCTTATGGTATCAGGAAGACCATTTCTCCTATATCTCCTTTAAGATATTCCCCCTTGAAGATAAATATAATGTTATCTTACCCTACTGATGGCTCCAGAAGCATCAACCTGACTACCTTTGGGATATGGACACTAGGAAAATCTCCTTTTCCAGTACCTATTACTAATATAACTACATATCAATGACAGTATTAGGCAAGAAAGAATTTAAAGCTAAGATCTTATTATTAGTCTTTACTAATATCTCCTCCTCAGTCCAACAAATCCCTAAGAGATTTAAGAACTTTACTCCCCTTATAAGCCCTAAAGCAATAAAGAGGCTCCTAGATCATCAACCCTAAGATCATATAATTGACATTATAAAAGATCAGCAGTTCTTATAGGGACTGCTATATCCTATGTTATGATTAGAAAAGAAAATCCTTTATGAGTGGATTGACCACATGCTTGCAGAAGGAAAGATCCATAACTCCAAGTCATTATGCTCTTTACCTATTTTCTTTATTAACAAGGATGTCTTTATAGAAAAAGCAGCTATATAAGATCCTAAGAACCTTAGATCTATGGTAGATTTCTGGGGTATAAATGATTAAATAGTCAAAAACTATTATCTTTACAAAGATAGACCTTAAAACTAGGTTTAACCTGATCTGGATAAAGGTAGGATATAAGTGGAAAATGGCTTTCTGAACTTGTTTTAGACTTTTTAAATTCATAATAATGCCCTTTGGGTTAACTAATGCCTCTATAACCTTCCAGGCCATAGTCAATGAAATATTTAAGGACATTAACCAAGGACTCTGTACTTATGTTAATGACCTCCTTATCCATGCCCCCACTCAAAAGGAATATAATAAGATCCTTCTTCAAGTCCTCTAGAGGCTTAAGGAGAATAATCTGGCTATCAACCCCTAGAAGTATATTTGGGATGCTAAGAAACTTAAATACCTTGGTTATATCATCAGTAATAAAGGAATCAAGATATCTCCTGATAAGGTCAATTACATTTTCTTATGGAGAACCCCTACCTATCTCAAGGAAGTATAATAGTTCAATGGCTTTACAAACTTCTATAGGTACTATATCAAGAACTTCTCCAAAGTTACCAAACCCTTAACTGACTCTATCAAGTTAGACAAGAGGTCATGGCATTGGACTGAATATATATAGCTAAGTTTCAATGTCCTTAAAAAGGCATTTATAGAAGCACCTGTCCTAGCATACTTTGTCCCTAGTCACTAAACCATAATGGAAGTAGACTGTTTAGATTAGGCCTTAGGGCTAATCATGTCTTAATAAGAAGATAATGGATGATGGCACCCAGTAGCATTCCATTTCAGGAAGCTGACTCCTATGAAGATCAACTATGAGATCTATGACAAGGAACTCCTTATAATAGTTAATGGGTTCTAGCAATAGAGACACTACCTAGAGGAAGCTGCCTATTATATCAAAGTCTTCTTAGACCATTTGTTACAACCTGCACACTAGGTACCTAAGTACCGGGTATTGAACAACAGATCATAGAGCCGCACGCTCTAGGGTTGGGGTTGTGGGGAAGGTCAACTCTCGAAGGCAAGTATCTCAAGAAGGGGGTTCACACTCTATTGAACAGATTGCTGTCACCAAAGACTTGTAAAGTGATGGGACACAATAGAATGTAATTGCTTGCATGAGGAACAGGAATCCTCACGCTCCATGGTGCGGTGCATGATGGCTACTTATACTGGCTAGCTAATAGTGGGGAGTAAGGTAACTTGTATCCTTCTTGGTGGGCATAAACATGATCTGTGTGATCTGTTTGAAGATCATATAGATCAAGGACTAAGTACACTAATCTGTGCAATCTGTTCAAAGTTTATACAGATCACCATAAATCACATGGCAAACCACATGACTCCACTTCCACAAGTAGGATGTCACATGTGGTCTCCCCTTCCTAGATCTTTTACCCTAAAGATCTACCATGGCTCCACCATAAGAATGTACTTACCCCGCCATCTGAAATTACTATTCAACCCATTCCTGTTTCCTTCTTTATAATGGGTCATAAACAAAAAGATCCTCCTTCTGATCCTGAACTTAATACCATATGTTGCCTTCATTCTGCCAATAACTCTTTCTTGTTTGGTTCTCTGATACCTTCATGTACCTATTGCAATGACAAGAACCTTAAATGCAAGGTCACCAGCAGGCTCTAATGCTATGGTCCTTATGCTTTGTTAAATGCCCCTTCTTATAACGTCATGGGCCTGAGTCAGTTAGTCTTTGACTTTCTGATCAGTCAAAAGAATAAACTTAATAAGGCTAAAGAGAAGGCTTTGTTAGATAGTGTGGAGCCCTAGTCAAGGCTCCTTTGGCTACATAAACAATGCTATGCTCTAGAGGAAAGAGCCTATAAGGCCTTTACTTAGGAGTCTTAGGATATCATAAAACTTAAGATGCTAGAGTAAGCATCTACTCCTATCCTAGGCTTCTCCTTAGGCTCCTGGCTTGATCCTAAACTTCTAGATGATATAGGTCCTATCACTGGTTCCTCCACTGACCCCAGGTAAATACCCTTTCTTTCCTGACAATATAAGGAAAAAATAAAGAGATAAGGAAAAATAGAGATTTATATATTAATGCCTTATGTCTAGGCATATCAGGTCTTTATAGGTTATCATAACCCAGGCCATTTTCAACAATTCCATCCCTATGGCACAGTGGCAGTATGCTTTACTCTTGTAGATAGGGTAACTTATACATGTCCCATACAGCAAGTTGTCCTATATAGTGTCAGAGAGGTTGGGGGTTCAATTCCTCCTAGGGGCACTTTTCCTTTTTGGTTTATTAGGATTTAGGTGATAGAAATCCTCAACCAGCTCTAGGCACTAAAGTCTTATATATGGTTCCTAAGAGTTGTCTACAGGTCCATAGCCAAGCCACTTGACTAGGTATTATAATATTCTTTTTTCAAATTATGAATCCAGGAGTTCCTCCACCTTAAATTCTTCTTCATCTGCCTCCACTTCTAGCCTTTTTTCTAATGGGACATTCTTTGGTGCTAGCTCCAGTAATGATACATAGAAGACTCTAGTTCTGACTCTTATGGTCTTTGGCAGGTCAAGTTTATAGTTTGTCATTGCTACCTTCTTTTTGATCCAGAATGGCCCATACCTTTTAAAGTCAAGCTTCCTACTTGGTTATTTCATTTTCAAATTTCTAAAGAACAGGTAAACATAGTCTCCTTCTTCTAAAGTTGGTCCCTCAACTCTATGTTTATCATAGTAGTGTTTCATCCTTTTATACATATACTTAAGTTCCTCCTTCAGTAGCTCTATGAGTTCTTGGATCCTATCTGCCCTGACTCCTGCTCTTGGTGTTTTATAGGATGGTCCTCTTTTAAGTTTAGGTTCTTAGCTAAAAACTATAAAGTATAGTGATACTTTTATGGATTTTACCATTATTATATTATAGGCTAGTTATACTGTTGGTAGTAGTTCTAGCTAGTTGTCTTGCTTGAAGTTGACATAGGCTCTTAGGTATATTTTAAGGGTCTGATTAAGTCATTCTATCTATCTATCTGTTTATAGGTGATAGGTAATAGAGAGTTTACTCTTGACTCCTATCCTTATTATCAATCCTTACTAGAAGGTAGAGACAATTAGCTTATCTCTATCTATTATTATATTATTAGGCCATAGGTATATTATAATATAGTTTCTTTTAAAAAGGTAAGTAAGTTGCTTTGCTTTTATGTCCTTCCTTACTAGTAGAAAGTAGGCCCATTTCATAAGTCTATCTACTATAACCCAGATCTAGTTATACTTAATACCTATTATTAGATCCTTTAAGTCAGGTATCCCTGATACCTAGTCCATCAAAATGAAGCTTTATTTTTATTCTAGGACTGGTAATGGTTCCAGTAGACTATATTATATATGCTTTTGGTTTTTTAACTTATTATAGACATTATAGTTATATATTACTTTTTCCATTACTTTCTTTACCTTTAGGAAATCATAGCTATTTCTCAGTTAGTCTAGCATCTTAGCAATTCCTATATATCCTCCTATATGGGCCTTATGTATTTTATGAATATACTCTTCTTATCTTTTTGGTTTAACATAGGCTTTCCTATAGTACCAAAATGGTAAGTCATTCTCTACTCCTCCTTCCACTTCCAACAGGAGTTGTTTATTATTAAGTATGTCTCTCTTATATTAGAAGTTATCATTTTGCCATTCTACTTAGTAGTTGGTATAACATTTCAGGAATACTTATGATACTCTTCTAAGGATTCCATCTTCCAACTCTTAGAGGATAGGTAGAGTCTTAGGTTTATCTTTTATCTTATGGTCAATTCTTCTGCTTAGTATGTCTACTCTTCTATTTTCTTTTCCTTTAACATAATATATCTTAAAGTTAAACTACATAAGAAACTTAGCCTATTAGGTTTATCTTCCATTAAGTTTCTTAATTACCCATGTCCTTAGGTTTAGGTAGTCTATGAGGATATCAAAGGGTTTTTCCATACCACTCAGGTACAGTACCCATTCCTCTAGGCATTAGATAATAGCCATTAGTTCTTTGTCTCCAATATCATAGTTCACTACTACCCTATATAGTCCTTTTAAAAGGAAGGCTACTAGGTATAGCTTTCTATTATCTCCATACTAGCTCAGTATTCCTCCTGATACATAGTCCAAAGAGTCTATCTCAATAATATACTTTTTATATGAGTTAGGTAGGGTATAAACAGGGGCTTGGGTAAATGCTTTTTTTAGGCTTTTAAAAGCTTATTGTTATTTTTCTACCCACTTGAAAGGTTTCCCCATGCCTATCAATGTATTTATAGGTTTTATAATGTCTCTAAAATGTCACATAAACCCATAGTAGAAGTTAGTAAAACCTATAAAGGCTTATATGTCTTTTTAGGTTTTTGATATCAGCCAGTCCCAAATTGTATCTAACTTTGATGGTTCCATCATGATCCATCCTGGGGTTATCTTAAACCCTAGGTATGATAATTCTTAGATATGGAATTAGCTCTTTCTAGGGTATACTGAAAAATCTACCTTTTCTAGGGCTTATAGTACCATATATATATGCTTTTTATGTTCCTTTATTATTTCTAAGAATATTAGGATATTATCTAGATATATAAATATAAAGTATAGGAGGTAATATAGTATATCATTTACATTTTCTTAAAAGGTCATGGGTATATTTATAAGTCCAAAGGGCATTACTTTATATTAATAATGGCCATAACATGCTCTGAAAGCTATCTTATACTTATCTCCTTCCTTAATGTAAATATGATTATAGCCCATTAGGAAATCAAGGGTGGTAAACCAATTTACTTTGGCTACTTATTCTCTCATTTCTAATATCAAGGGTAGTGGATATTGATTCTTGATAGTATCCTTATTAAGGGTTTGGTAATCCACTACCATTTACAAGTCTATGGTTCTTTTCTTAGGAATAAATAGGACTAGGTATCCTACTTCTGACTATGATGGTTTAATAAATCCTATGGCCAGTTATTCCTTGATATATTCTTTCAATACCCTATCCTATCATAGGTTTAGGTGGTATATTAGGAAGAACCTTAGCTTAGCTCCTTCTTTTAACTTAATCTTATGATCATAAAGGCCATGTTTAGGTAGTTTAATTAACTTTTTCCTAAATAATAAGTACTATAGATACTCCTTTAATACCTTTGATAGATCTCTAAGATCTTTACTAGGTCTAGGTAGTAAGGATTCTTTATCTAGGTCCTTTGTCATTATGATCCAAATCCATAATTATATATCTTCATGGATGTCTTCTTCTAGTTCTCCTAGGGTATTATCTTCTTTAGGGGTTCCCTTTTCTTGGGTATCCTGCTCTCTGTCTTGTAAGGACATGGTTCCTTTCTTCCAATCGATGTCAGGATTGTATTTCAACAACCAGGGTTTTCCTAGTATTATGGAACACTTATTACCTATTAGTAGTAATTAGAAGATTGTTTCTTGGTAGTCATTGTCTATTATAATTAAGAGTTTTAATCATCGCTTTACTAATCCTCCTTTATAGAGAGCCTTCTTACCCTTATATATTCTAATTATCATTAGTTTCTCATATAACTGGTAAGGTAGTTAGTAGAGATTAATAATTATAGGGTTGATTATATTGACATTACTTCCTAAGTTGATTAATGTGTTAGTGGGTTCTTTTGCTTTAGGCAAAAGGATGGGAATGGTAAAGTCTTTCCTAGTATTTCCTATTCTCAGGGCTCTGACTGTCTATTCTTTTAAAGGACTTATTAATCCTAACCTAAAGGGCCTTTTCCTTCTCCTCTAGTCTTTGATTAGCTACTTTAATAGTCTTACTTACTCTTACTTAAAGAGCTTCCTCCTTTTCCTATATATTCCTTACTTAAGGCCATGGGCTTAAGGGTAATATGTTAGAGGGGGAACTTTACTCTATCTACTTCCTTATAGGTATCTCTTTTTAATCTCTAGTCTTCAGTTTGTAATTGGAAAGGTTTAATGGTACTTAGTTCTTTCCATGCTATATTATTAATATTTACAATTCTAACAGGATTCCTTGTTTAAATAACTCAGGCATGTCATTTCTTTCTTTCCTCTAGTTCCTTTTTCTTAAAATACTAGGTTCTCTTAGGTATATGGAACTGGTAGAATATATATATATAGTCTTTTATATTATAATAGTTCTAACATGCTTCTAGTATATTCTAAAATAGGTAGACATATTCTAGTTTATGGTTTTCTTTAGTTAAGAAGTAGACCTTATACTTAGTATATAGTACCATCTATACTAAAACTAACCTATCTCCTTCCCTAGGTGCTAGGTAGTATCTATGGAGTAACTTCAGGGTAGTATACTCATTATCTATATAGTTATTAAAGAAATAGTTAAGTTATAGTATTAGATAGTGTTTAGGGTATTCTAGGTCTATTACTAGGGAGCTTATTGTCTTTATCTAAGGGTACTGTCTGTTAGTGGTTTCCTATAGGTGTCAGTAGACCTATTGAAGGGACTCTTACTTATGGGCTTCTAGCCAGTTCCTTACTTAAGTATTCTTTGTTATCTATTATTAAGCTAGTAGTCTTACCTTTTCTGAGGTTTCTGGTTCTTCTTTAATTCTCTGAAGTATATGGCTAGTCTAGTTGGTGATTTATAAGAGTCTCTTCTGATCTTTTTATGAGAAGAATTCTTTAAAAGTATCTTGGAGTTCTAGTACCAAGTCATGTGTTAACTCTTTGTTGCTTCCTTCTATTAGCTCTTCCTTTATCATCTAGCAGGCTATGGCTTCCCTATTAATTAGTTCCTCTTCTGATTCAGGCTACCTATTATCATTTAACTCTTTATTAACTTCTATAGTATTAAAGGCTTCCTACTAGGTAACCATATTGAATATAGGTCTTCTTGTAGGGTAGTTTTGCTTAAGAGGGGCTACCTTAGGGTTCTAAATATCATACCCCTTGTCCCATATCTTCTTATTATAAGTTCATTTGTTACTGCTTTTAATATCTTTATAATATTTATTTACTTCTAGGTCATCATACTCCTCTAAGTTGACCATGTAAACTACTAAGTCTATACTGGTTCCTGTAATTTGTCAAGATTCTGGGACCGGTGTCTAAGAATTCTTCTTTACAAAGGGTTTCCTTATACTTCAGCATTCCCACACATAATATCCTTTCTTATTATAGTTATAATAAGTAACCTCTTTTTTATCCTTTTTTCCTTAGGTATTTACCTTCCCTATCCACTATGTTACACCAATCTCTATGGGTCCTAAGTGACCATAGCCTCTATAT